AAAAAAAAAAAAAAAAAAAAAAAAAAAAAGCACAAAATGGAAGACGCCCCTATGTGAGACAAAAATTTTTAAAAGCAACCCAGCTTTACAGAAATTATTTGTTTTGAAACACAGCTTCCCAAATTAATTTTTAAAGATGCTTTCTCCTTGACCTTGGGACCTCTCAACTGTGTCATCTGTTGTATTGACTCTCACCTACCTGGGGCTTCATCCACCATCTCATGTTGCTTCATATTCCAGGGCTCTTTTTCTTTCTCCAGAAAGGTAATTAGGTCTTGCTTAGAGACAATAATACCTGTTTTATTAAAAATAAATAATATGAATCTTGCTCATCTTCTGTAGTTGCCAACTTAATAATGTGCTCATAAAGAGGATGTAATGGAATATTCTAGTAAGTTAATCCCAAAATACTAATTTATAACAGAAATTTCTAAATATTTACAAAATATTTTCAATTTGTAGGTACATAATTTCACTACCCAGTACTACTGAATCAGAAATTGATGGTGGCAATTAGATTTTAAAGTGTGGGCAACAATATTTCAGGCCACAAAATTTCTGGAATTAACATTAAACCAGGCTGGGTGTGGTGGCTCATGTCTGTAATCCCAGCACTTTGGGAGGCCAAGGCAGGTGGATTGCTTGAGGTCAGGAGTTCGAGACCAGCCTGCCAACATGGTAAAATCCCGTCTCTATTAAAAAAAAAAAAAAATTAAATTAAAAAAAATTTTTTTAAATAAATAAATAAAACCTTAATCCAGAGTGAAGGATACAGATCATCTCAGGAATGTGGAAAGTTAAGGTCAAAATGAAACATCTTGAAGAAATTCTCTTCTACATGGATTAATCCCCAAGATTTTCTTGAAAACAAGGATATGAAACTCATTTATGCAAAGCATACTTTACCAAAACACATTCTACAAAAAAGAGAAATAAAGCCTTTAGGATATAATAGGAATGGTGTATTGGAGTTATCCTCACCCAGGAAGACCAGGTTTCTGTAGTTCTCTAACATCACATTTTTATATAAATTTTGCTGTGCAGTGTCCAGGCATTGCCACTCCTCCAGAGTAAATTCCATGGCCACATCTGTAAATGTCAATGGTGCCTGAAAAACACACAAACACATTTACCAAGTGGCCATGGGCAGAATTTTTAATCTGACTCAAGGTGAAATGAAAGAGTAAAGAGAACTGGTTCTAACTTATAGGACTGACTAAAATTTTCCAATAAAATGAATTTCAAAACAGAAATATCCTCTCTGAGAAAACAGAGTGGCATAAAATCTACAATATCAGTGCTTTTCTGTTCTTCTGAATAATACAGTATAAAATCAAGGGCATAAACACAAACATGTACATTTTTGAGTGCTATACTCACATTCTAAAGAATGAATTGTGTGTATTATTCAGATCAAAAGGACATGTTAAGTTAGAAGGTGCGTCTTAAATTTTAATGTTATAAACGTGAGATTGTGTTAATGCAGATATTTTTTTCAGAAAATCAGAAATAAAGTCTGAGTTGCTGAATTTCTAACAAGCTCACCAGTAATGCCAATGTTTTTGCCTCAAAAAGAAGATTTTGTCAAAAACACTGAGTAAGTAAATGAGCCTGCGTTTTTCCCAGTTTTTCTGGCCTGTAATCAAAGATGAGAGCTTTCATTTTCCAAACACAGATATATGCAAGAGGCAGCTTCCAGATTAAATATGATAATTTATACACATCAGCTGCAAAAAGATACTTAATAATAAAGAGGAAAATAATTAACTTAATAGTAAAAAAGAATCTGTCAGAGAGCTCTTTAACCAAGTGAATCACTAATATCAAGTGCACTAGAACAAATTTTCATAATGTGCTGATACAGATAGGACATAACATCAGTGCTAAAATATTGCCATCCTGAAAGTTAATTACAGTCTGAATTTAACCTTGCAGAAACATGAGTTTTATGCAAAGTTTAAGATACAGATATCTTCCACGTTCTATAATTTGTAATACTGATATTAAGTAGTCTTTCTTTAGCACCCTATACAGCAAGCATCTTCTAATTTTTTTAATTTAAGTTCTGGGGTACATGTGCAGATCTTGCAGGACTGTTACATAGGTACACACATGCCATGGCGGTTTGCTGCCTCCATCCCCCGTCACCTACATTAGGTATTTCTCCTAAGGTTATCCCTCCGCAATCTCCCCACCCCCTGCTATCCCTCCCCTAGCGCCCCATCCCCCAACAGACCCCAGTGTGTGATGTTCCCCTCCCTGTGTCCACATCAGAATGGTGATCATCAAAAAATCTGGAGACCACGGATGCTGGAGAGGATGTGGAGAAATAAGAACACTTTTACACTGTTGGTTGGAGTGTAAATTAGTTCAACCATTGTGGAAGACAGTGTGGCGATTCCTCAAGGATCTAGAAATAGAAATACCATTTGACCCAGCAATCCCATTACTGGGTATATACCCCAAGGATTATAAATCATCCTAATTTTTAAAAATAACTTTCTGGGTAATAAATGCCATCCTGTTTAAATAAGCATTTTTTACATCCTGTTCTGCATAAAGCTAATGGAGAACACAGATGGAACCTCAACATTATATGTTCTCCATTTTCACTAAGGATGGACCCCAAATTTTCCTCAACAGAAATCATGAGTAGCCACAGCTTCCTATGGTCCACAACCACAAAGGAAACAATTTTAATATTGCAGATTATAAATTCATGGTGAAAATTCTGCATGGCATATAAGAAACCAAGACGTAAAGAATGTAGAAAAGGCTCTGGTATATAGGAAAGAAATATTTTGCAGAGACCCTTGGATATTACATGAATTTTTAAAAGTTGTTAAAACAAACTCATGAGGGAGGAAAAACACAAGCAAAGAAGCAAAGGCTTGCCAATTACTGAGCGCATGGCAGTCCAGGAAGCAGAGTGGACACAGCTCTTGATCTGAGATACGCTTAGCCAAAAGAAAAGCCATTTTTTTCCTTGTTTCTCCTCCTTCTCTGGATTCCTGCTCAGATGAGATTCTTAATAAATTACATCTGCATCTTGAAAAAATGCCTTTAAAGGTTTTAGCACCACCTGTTTACATCCACAGGCAGAAGGACCAGGACCTGCAGAAAAAGCCCACCCGTTTCTGTTCTTTATAACAAAAGGGATTCAGGAACAATAAGCTGCTCCATGGGAGCAAAAATATAAATTTCCCTTTTCCTGTACTCAGGTAACCTCCCCTGCCACAGGCACCAGCAATTTCTGCTACAGTAATGGAAATATGGGCCACACTGCCCGGTCCCTACCAAAGCTGAACAGAAAAAGGCCCTGTGACCACCCTTTAG